CCCTTCTCAAGCCTGACTGCGGGCACTCACCGTGCATCGAGTCCCGTCACCAGCACACAGCCACCCCCCTCACCCCAGTGCAGCTCATCCCACGCAGCCCCTGCAGCAGCCAGCACCCACCTCCTCACCTCCATGCGTGAGGAGCCCCTGGGCCCCAAGTATTGCGGCTGAGCCCAGGGCAAACATGACCCACCACCACCTGGCCTGGCCCCTCTCACCCCCCTGTGCCCGTGCAGCCCCAGAAGGGTCTTTGGTGTGTGCCGAAGGTGCTCAGTGCAGCAGCTCGGCTTTGCCTGCCCCGCTGTCCCCATGCAACCACCCTCCATGTCTAAACACTTCCCAGCACCATTTAGCCAAGCTGCTGGTGTAAACTTGGCCAATTCTCCCCACACCCAGACTCTGGTGATAATACAGTGATTTCAAGAAGGCTTTTTCACTGCACCATTTTGTCCATTACAGCTTCTCTTTCCTAATTTGAGAGCAAGAGCAAAGGTTTGCTCTGCCTGCCAGCAGCCCCAAGAGCCCTTGGGATCCACCCGTCCGTCGGCAGAACTTGGGCGCTCTCCCCGCCTTGCCTTCCCATCCTCCCTCCTGGGATTCATCAGTTCCAACCTCCTGCTCCTTCAGCTGCTGCGGGAGGAAGACCAAAAGAAGGCAGAGCTGCATGTCTTTGCACAAGCACAGCTGTAAAATAATACAAGCCTGTGCTTTTACTGGAGAAATGTGAGTCTAATTAATAAAGCTGCACTGGCTACCACACAGGAATGCTTGTTGAGCACCTGTAGGTATAAACAGGAATATAAACTTTCACAAATACAGCTCAAATCAGAAACAAATGGATTATTGTCTTTTACAAAGAGCTCTCCCAACCTGGAATACTTCCAGTGCTGTTGGAGGGCAGCAGGCTGTAACTCTACCGGCCCCTTCCCCGACCAGAAAAACCCTCCCTGTGTTATGAGGCAGGTGCCACTGAATTATGAAAACTCGCTTTATTTCAGCCTCCCCGCTCAGCCCATGATCTGGAGGTTTGCAAAACACTTCCCCTGCAGGAGTTGTAATAACGCCTTTCTCAGCCACCGTAATTAGCTGTTTACCCCCCAAACATTACTTTTTTGGCACAACTCTCATCATGACCTCACTCACTTTCCATGCAGGAAAATTTCATCTTTGGGAAATTGGATTATTGGAGAATTTAGTTTTCTTTCAGTGAAAGCAGCTCTGAGCCTGCTGA